AAACATCTGCTATGCCCTTTGCATTCGAGTTCACATCTTTTTCCAGTTTGGGCAACGATTCTTTGAGAAAATGTGTCATTTGCATAGCTGTATTCTCCAGCTTGGTAGTCAATTCCACCAACTGGGTATTCTGAGAATCATTCACTTTTGTGAATTTGTCATCAACTCTTTTGAAATACTCATCAGTTGCACTCTTGAAATCTGTCTGGATTCGCGCTAGGGACTGTTTCATGTTATTTTTTATCTGGTCCACGTATTCCTTGTTTGCAGCATCCTTTTTCAAAATAGGTGTTTTGACATTGCACAAATTCAAATTACCGAAATCTATATCGCCTTTAGGAGTATGTGCTAAGCCGCCGTCACCTGATGCAATCACCACCAGTTTTCGTTTTCTATCCGAACTACGTCCGAACTTATCGATTGTCATCTTTGAAATGATTGATATTTCATAAGCTTATATCTATTGTATAATGTTTGCCTCCTTCAGTTCAGAAATAATGGATACAATCTCATTGTCGAGGGAAGTATTTCCAGCCTGCTTTGATGCTATAAGCAATCTCAAACGTTCACACAACTCATTGGGGTCATCCCAATAGATGTATTCCACAGGCTTGGTATTGTACGTAATCATCATGGGTTCTCTGTTCTTGATATTGCGGTGAATCTTCAAGCCCCGTCCCGTTGTACCACGTCGTGTTCTTGCTTGCGAGGCTGCGGCTGCTGCTGATGGTGGTGGTGGCGGCAGAAACAAAGGTCTAACGATTTCCCTGTACTTGAATCGTGGACTGTGTTTGATCTTCCCATTCACATTCAGATGGGCCTTTGATAGTTCCAAAATTTGTTTGTACCCATACAGATCATCTTTATTGTAATTTTCGGGGACATCGTAGAATATCAGCTCATATATACCAGGAGTTCCTTTCACTTGTTTCCCATCAATTTTGATGTAGCCAGTACGTGCATCAAAATCGATTTCTTTGTAGCCGAGCCTCCATTTTGAATTGCTCGAATCATATATAGGACCATATATCTTGTCTATTTTATTGCTGTTTGTCCAATGTTCTTTCATGAATGGAATAATCATTGGGGGATATTGTTCCAGATATGCCTCAATAGCTGCAGGATCGAAGCTCTCCACATCACCTTCTTCTTCTCCTTCATCTCCCTCGAACACTTCATCACCAAAACTTTCACCACTCGTACTAGCAACACGTTCAAGTTTCTGAAAAGGTAGCCCATAAGCTTCTTCTTCTTCTCCTTCCTCTTCCTTTTCAACTTTCTCTTCCTTTTTCGGTAGTAGAGGTTCATTTTTGATGACTGTGTTGTGTAATGAAGTATTTGCTGCTATTATTTCCTTTAGTGGTGCAGATACAGGATTGAAAAATTTCTGCAACGTTTCATCCTCCTCTGATTTGCCTAATTTCAGAGCCAGATATTTCTTTTTTATATCCTTGGCTATTTCATTGATTTTATTTTTGCGAACGATATCGACCTCTTTGCTGAGTGGTTTCATGTTGACAAATAGGCGTTATCACATCGGGTTTATACTTTTATGAACTTGTCGAAGCCTTGACGATAGCGACCTGCGTTCAGATCGTGATCCTTAACAATAACCATTGCACCATATTTTTCATTCCAACAAGCCGCACAAGTTCGCTTGAATTGATCGAATGTCATGTCGGGCGAGACGTGTTCATCAAACACATGCTTCAAATTCACCTCATCCTGTTTGAAGAGCACCACTAGGTTGGTGTTGTCTCGCAACATTTGCTTGGGGGCTTTACTGTACGTCTGTCCTATGTATATAGCATCGATACCTCGATGACGGCACATGGAATAATACTCTTGAATTTTCTGTTGTGAATCGCACGATATGTCATCGAAAATAAAAATGGAATTTGGTTTGGCTTCATTGGGACCCATAATTTCCTCATTAGCTTTAAATGGAAAATATCCAACACCTTTGACCATTCTCAGTATCTTTTCAAGCAACTGGTATTTGGGTTGGTACAGTGACTTTGAGTACACGTATACGTTTTCGAATTTGGCGCCATTGGGGTGAAACAACAATGACAGTGCAGCATTTGTTTTTCCACATCCACTTGGGCCACAAATAATGGCGCGAAATGAGTGTGGTAACAGGACACCATGTTTACCTCGATCGATTCCGCTACTGCTGTCATTCAAGTAGTCCAAATTTTCGATTGGTAGCGTCTTTTTCTGTTGAACGACTCTCATGATGTGTGACAATTCACAGAGCATTGAGAGCTTTTATAAATGGAGGTGAATTCCAACATCAGTGCTCATTCTTAATGTTGATCTACCGCGGTGAAGGTATAGTCAATACACTCATCAATAAACTACCATTCGAATTACATCTTCCTGGTTATTCGTATTGCGGTCCAGGAACCAAATTACAAGAACGACTAGAACGTGGAGATATAGGCATAAACCCCTTGGACGAAGCCTGTAAAGAGCACGATATAGCCTACTCTCAGAACAACACTTTGGAAGAACGTCATAAGGCCGATCGAGTGCTGGAAAATAAAGCTTGGGGACGTGTCAAATCGAAAGACGCGAAAATTGGTGAAAAAGCTGCTGCTTGGCTCGTCACCACCGGTATGAAGACAAAACGAAAACTTGGCATGGGGGTGTCGAAGCAGCAGCAGCAGCACCCATTCTCCAAAATCGTGAAAAATGTGCTGAATGCTCTGAAAAAAACTTTTGACAGCAACGCTGACGGTGGTAGTCATCAAGGTAGTGGTTTAAGTAGATCATCTGCAGCAGCTTTGCGTGCAGCCCATAAGGCAATAAAAAAAGTTGGAGGTCGTAAAAAAATTCGAATTCCCAGAATAATACCACTGCCTGCCACAGGAAAAAGTGGTGGATTCCTACCATTGATACCACTATTTGCAGGCCTATCGGCTTTAGGATCGTTGGCTGGGGGAGCAAGCGCTATCGCAAAGACAGTAATCGATACCAAGAATGCGAGGAAAAAACTGGAAGAGGATAAACGTCACAATCAAGCTATGGAGCATCTGGGTTCCGGTGTGTATCTACGTAAAACACGTAAAGGATATGGACTGTATTTGAAAAAGAGAGGGGGTGGTGGTCGCGGCGGCGGAGGTGGCAGCTGTGGAGCTGGATTATTCTTGAAGAAACAAAAAAACTGATATCCAAGCTACCCAATAGAGCATTATATGATGGAGAGATTGTAAAATACGCCAAACAACTCAAAATACCATATTTTCGAGGAGTTTCCATGCGAGACACGCTACCTACCCGCCCATGGCGACGTCGTGAGTGTGCAGTCATGAATTTAGATTCCTCCATCAATCCTGGTACCCATTGGGTAGCTTATAAAAAACATGGGGATATTGTTCATTATTTCGATTCGTATGGTTGTCTGAAACCGCCGAAGGAATTAGCCGAATATTTCGGAAACAACGTGCAGATATTCTATAATAATGATGTATATCAGAAATACAATCAGATCAATTGTGGTCATTTATGTTTAGCATTTCTATTGAATTCGAAATTAAAATGATGAAAATGAAAACCAAACTATTTAAATTATACATACCCCTACACTGAGCCATCAGTCATGTCTTTGATATTGACATTGAAGAGTCGTTCTTCGACGCTCTCTATCGATTTTTCACCTCCAATTCCATTGGATCTCGATTCTGAATATGGCTTAGCTCTACTCAGTTTCCATTCGTACAACAGCGTACCCAACATCGAGGAAGGTACAAAGTTCTATTATTTTGAAAACGGTGACAAAAAACGGAGAAAAAGTATCGATATTCCTACTGGAGCTTACGAAATTGAAGATATTGAAAATCTGATCAGAAAACATCTTGTACCACCACCTGCATCGAAAAATATGATGTCATTGTCTCCATCGCAGAAGCCTGAAGACCTTTTCTATCTCAAACCGAATAATAATACTTTGAAGAGTGAAATTTTCTGCAAACATCATGTAATCGATTTCACTCAGAACAATAGTTTGGCCAACATATTGGGGTTTTCGTCGAGAATCTTGGAAAATGACATTCATCATGTGTCAGATCAGCCTGTGAATATTATAAAAGTTCGAACAATACATGTCGATAGAAACATTACCTCAGGGGCCTTCTACAATGACAGACCATCTCACACGATCTACGAATTTGCCATCGATGCTGACCCTGGTTACGCTATCGACGAAACGCCGAATCACCTCATTTATTTACCCATCGCTGCCCATACAAACGAAATCTACAACATCACGCTCAGAGTGCTCGATCAAAACTTTCAACTGGATTGGAACTGAAAAAATTATGGTCCTGAGTGTTTATAAGAGTCGCACCTCCGTTCCTGCTCCTTCAGTCTTCAAGAAGACATTCATCAACCACATTGCCCGCCGCCCACTCAGTACGCGGAATATAGCATTTCTCAAGTCACTCGGCTATCATGTTATCCTCTCAAGTGTTCAACATATTCCGAAAGCCTCACGTCGACGAATCCATACAAAAGGTCGAATGGAGAACATACTACCCTTACGTCAAGTCGTTCCGCAATAATGATGTCATAGAAATCAACATCAATCAGTCTGATGCTTTTGATGCTCTATATGAAAGTATTTTGCACATTAGCGGAAAAGTAACGAGAACTGAAGGTGCTGGACATGTAGCTTTTGTCAATAATGCTGGTGCCTACATGTTTCAATCCATCAGTTATGATCAGAATGGCAAGGAATTGGAAGCAGTGCGCGATGTTGGAACTGTTAGCACCGTTAGAGGTTATTTGTGCTACAGTGCTGAAGATACGAAACAATTGGCTATAGCAGGTTGGACCTACCCCAATAACGTTGATGTCATAAATGCGACAAGTTTAGCATTCAGTATGTTTATTCCATTGAAGCATCTGCTGAATATTTTCAACGATTATGAGTGCGTCTCCTATGGTAAACATTCTATTCGTTTGGTGCGAGCTGGAAACGATAATAACTGCTTCAGAATCACCGAAACTGCTGTCGGCGCAGCTGTTGTGCCCACAAAAGTACAACTGGAAATCGAAAATGTGGAACTCAAAGTGAAAAGATTATTTCCAAACGATCAAATCAAACTACAACTCTTGAAGGCAATCAAAGCCGACACCCCCATCCTAATACCCTTCAGAAAATGGGAATTACATATGTTGCCTTCTCTCACGACAGGCGCCACCAATGAAATCTGGGCGGTCAAAACTTCTTCGTTTCTCGAAAGTCCTCGATATGTCATTGTTTGCTTTCAAACAGGTCATGATCTGACTAAAGTCAATACTGATATTACGATATTCAATCACGCAAACATAACGAATATCACATTAACTCTCAATGGGGAAAGTTATCCAAAGGAAAAGATGCAGTTGGCCTTCGATAAAGGAGCCTTTCCACAGGCGTACTTCAACTATACGCAATTTGGATACAGCTATAAAAACACCTCGCTACACACTCCACTCCTGGGTTACCCAGAGTTTGCCAATAAACAACCTCTTTTCGTTATCGATTGTTCGCGACGAGATGAAAGTGTCAAAAGTTCCACTGTCGATGTCAAACTTGAGATTGAGGCATCCCAAGGATTTCCCGCCAACACTCGAGCCTATTGTATCATCGTTCACGATAACATCATTGAGCACCTCCCACTCAGTGAAATTATCAAAAAGTGGAATTGATTCTCAGTTTTCCACTCAGTTTGAGTTCGACCAGCATCATGAGAGTAGCTTTTATAGACATCCAGGGGTTCATTATCGAGCAAGAATTCCGTCCCAAGGAGATTGCCATAAAAATCGGAGTGCAATGTAGTAACTATCTGCTACTTCCATACAAATCCTTTTCATCTCTCAGCAAAGAAGACCGATGTGGTGTATGTTTCTTGGAGAGAAACATTCATGGGCTCAGATATTCTTCCGGCTTCGTGGCATACAATCTACTGGATGATATTCTTCGGGAGAAACTGAGCGACATCGACATCATTTATGAGCGAGGACATCAAAAGAAGGACTTTCTGGACGATGAACTAGCAACATTCAATGTACATGCGAGAGTTGTGAACTTGGAGCGATTCGACGATTCCTGGTACGATGTACCAACTTTCGATCACAACCACACCATCACATCCTGTATGCACCACCTCCGTCGGGAATCCTACAATTGTAGTCTTCGCAACGTTGATATTTTATACAAATGGTTCGATAATATGATACCCAAATGATGTTTCTTTATTATTCAATAAAAATAGCATATTCACTCTAATGAAAATTGTTGTATTTTTTCTTCTTACTCTCGACAATACGTTATTTATCATAAGATATCAGTTGAATATTTCACATCACACACCTTCAAATGGCCCACGTCCGTATTACGGAGTAACACCCAAATACTTGAACGTCTGGCAACGATGCGGTGCGCCGCGCACCAAGTATCCAACGTCTGCCGGTGAAGGCGACCCGCGCGCTGGCCGGCCGGCATGTTATATCCCCAACTTAAACACAAACATTTACTTGTGGATGTGGCGCAATGGTAGCGCTTCGGACTCACAGTCCGTCGGCCGGGGTTCGATTCCCCGTTCGCACAGCTCACAGCTTTTTTTATTTAATTCGGAATATAAATTGAATTGCAAAAATGACGTCACCATACGAATAATACATATTATAAATACAAACATCAAGAAGTTAAAACTATCGCCACATCTACAGCGCCACCTAGGGAGTGTTGATGGCGGCTTTGAAGCACAAACGGCATAGTTCTTCTACTTATTTGTGATCGCAAAAGATCACAGATCTCGAAAAAAATATGAAAAACAGGGTGTTCCATTTAAAAAAATTGATTTGTGGTTTGCCACGCTCTTAGGAATCACCCTGTATAACCTCTGATGGATGCCTTAGAAAGGTCTCATTGCGGCATTAAATTTCCGCATATTATTTTTTTTTCCTAAGTGAAAGTATAACGAAAATATGGGGGTGGGCCTTCTCGATGGATAACCCTGTACAGTGTGTCCAGTTTTCGATGCTTTTGTGTGATATCTCAGTTATCTTTCGGGATAGAACCTTGCGGGTTTCGCGGTCGTGTGCCACTATTTTGTGAAACTCAAGATGGCCTAATCAGATTTTACATAACTGTTTCCGTTTATGAGATACAGGGCGATTTTGAAAATTTATACTCTTTGGGCCCCCTCTATATCTACGAAGTTTCTCAGCAAAAATGACAAATTTCAATCTCATCCCATATGAAAGTTTACGCAGAATCCATTGGCGCACTCAAAATTTCTTTTCGGGGTATGGTCTTGGAGATACGACTCAAACTTATGATTTTTTAAATGGAACACCCTGTATTTTATAAGCTCACGAAATTCCTAATTTTTTTCTCTTCAAAATGATTTATAATGTATGTATATGAAATATTCAAAAATGCTCTGAAATCATTGAAACATTGAATTTTAATAGTGGGCTATGGATTTTTCTCATAAAAAAGTTTCAATTGAAGGAATATTCATTCTGATTTTTCCATGAAGAGGACAAAAACAATACCAACACTAATCAACTAAGAAAACACAAAAATTTCGTACCTGATAGCAACAAATAAATAGTGATAAAAAGTTCATAATGTAGAATAACCACCAGATTAAATATTTACAAATACAATTGAATTTCGGAATTATTCAATAACTTATTCACTGAACTGTTCGAATTGATGTCCATTTTCTATAACACACAATTGAGAACAGTTCCTCAATACGTCTTGATACAGTAAGAGTCACAAATATCTTGAAGAACATCGTGCAACAAGAGGCAGTTTTCCAGGAATTACAATGACATCTTTCAATGATTTTGAATGCATTAAGACGTATTGAGAAAGCGTTTGAGAGAAAGTGGACATCAATTTGAACAATTCAATGAATAAGTTACTGATTAATTTCGAAATTCAATTCTCTTAGTGAATATTAAATCAGGTGCTTATTCTAGAATATGAACTTTTTATTACCATTCATTTGTAGCTATCAGTTACCTAATTTTGGTGTTATCTTAATCAACTAGTGTTGCGATTGTTTTTGTCCTTTTCATGGAAGAATCAAATGAAATATTCCTCCAATTGAAACTTTTTTTAAATGAAAAATCCATAGCCCACTATTAAAATTCAATGTTTTAGTGATTTTGAAGAATTTTTGAAAATTTAATACCTATTCATCATATTTCATTTTGATGGGAAAAAAATAATGAATTTGATGAGCTTATAAAATACAGGGTGTTCCATTTGAAAAATCATAAGTTTGAGTCGTATCTCCGAAACCATACCCAGAAAAAAAAATTGAGTGCGCTACTGAATTCTGCGCAAAATTCTGTATAAGATGAGATTCTAATTTGACATTTTCGCTGAGGAACTTCGTAGATATAGAGGGGGTCCAAAAAGTATAAATTTTCAAAATCGCCCTGTATCTCATAAACGCAAACAGTTATGCAAAATCTGATTAGGCCATCTTGAGTTTCACAGAAAAGTGGTACAGGACCGCGAAAACCGCAAAGTTCTATCTCGAAAAATAACTGAGATATCACGCAAAAGCATCGAAAACTGGACACACTGTACATACCCGATAGTAAAAATTTCAAAGCAAGGAGTTAAAAATGCTCAAATCTAGAACTCGACGGTAGATATTTTTTCTGTATTGAGATCTCAGTGTATTTGTGAGTTCTCTAAAATGATCTTAACAATATGCATAATTCTTGCCTGGTATTAACTGACAGTTTTGGAAAAAAGAGGAATATTAAGCACTCGGATAATAATAATATTATTATGATTTCAATTATTGGAAACTTAGAGGAGGTGTAAAGCTTCAGTTATTTGTTATAACTCACATAGTACCTATAGAGCAATGAGCACAAGCGAAAAATAATATCTGGTGAAATTTGCAATTATTCATCAGTGACTATCCTGTATGCCACTACATAAATTTTGGGAGCCACATTTTTCACAAGCGACAATCTGCTGCACCACAGTCAGTTATAATTTGTGAGCCAACTACGATGACAAGTGTTTGCTTACTAACAAATAGAGGAACAAGTAGAAAACAAAAACAAAGTACTTTATTTTGCTAGTAGAGACTCTTTGCATTCATATTAGAAAACAATTTATCCATTTATGAATTCCCACTCACTCTGGGTACTGTAATAACTCTACGAACTTACCCCGAGGATATTAAAATAGTATTGAACAACAAGACATTAACGGATGACATATCAGGAAAAGTGTTGAAACAAGGTGATAAACTCAGTTTCGCCACAATAAACCCAAACTCTGAACAATTATTTGTTGAAATTGTTCTTCAGTGTCCATCAAGTCAGAGTGATGAGTAAAAAACAATTAGTAGAGGAATTGCATGCACCTGCAAGAAAAAACTCCAGAAGGAGACATGTTATTATTAAAGGATTAAAAGATCTAGATCAAGCTGATTTAGTTGAAATGATACCATATGCAAATGTCAACAAAGGATATCGATATATACTCGTTGTGGTTAACGATTTCAGTGAATTTGTCTGGGTAAAACCAGTTAAAAGAAAAGCAGCAAAATATGTTACATTTGCTATGAAAACCATACTGAATCAAATGAAATATATACCAGAAAATTTACAAACTGATAAAGGATCTGAGTTTTATAATTCTCAATTCAAAAATCTCATGGAAACATAATAAAATGAATAGTATTGTGGAAAGAGTCAATCGTACTCTGAAAAATCTAATGTGGAAGCAATTCAGTTTGCAAGGTTCCTACAAATGGTTAGACATTATTTCTAGAATAGTTGAACAATATAATGACACGAAGCATTCAACAACCGGTATGAAACCAAGAAAAATCAATTCGTCCAATGAAAAACAACTTCTTGGAACAGTCTATAGTCGTTTGAAAACAATCGACCCCATAAAATATAAATTCAAAGAGGGTGACTTTGTTAGGATAAGTAAATACAGGGAGCAATTCTCGAAAGGATATACACCCAATTGGTCGAATGAAGTTTTTAAAATAAAAAAAGTCAACATTTCCAACCCAACAACATATTTCTCAGAAGATCAGGGTGGTGAATCAATCTCAGGAGCTTCTATTCCGAAGAACTGCAGAAGGCAAAATATCCGGATGTTTATTCAATTGAGAAGGTGATGAGAAGAAAAGGAAATAAATTGCTGGTGGAATGGTTAGGTTTCAGTAATGCTGATAGCTCTTGGATAAATGGAAATGAATTGATTTGATTCAATTAACAAAAATAAAACGCTTTCATTCAGAACATGTCATTTTATTCCACAAAATCTTTCTTTAAAAATATTATATATATGGTTTGCATTCAAAATAGGTGAGATTGAATTGGTGATCTCCTTTATTCTTTTGTGGAAGCGCATTCTATCTGAAGCTAACACATGTCAATGTCCTTTTCTAGCTGCATTATAAGCGAAACTCCATACCATCAATAACTGAATAGAATCTTGATTGCTAAATGTCACTTGTTTCATCCTTGCACGAGATTTTTTTCGAATACGTCTGGATACATGTGAATCAATTCCATAGCCATACATACATTTTCACTGCTGTAGTTGTGATTCTCACCAAGCAAGTTTGTCGCAGCAGTGAAGAGATTTCCACCAATGGTCTGAACACCTTTTTGAAGATTCTTGATGTAGTTAGAAAATC